GTTGAATTGAGCTAAAAATTCTTGAGCGTATAAAAGACTTACATTGACAATTGCATGCAAAATTTTAAATCAAGTGGATAGTTGAATTGGATGTTTTAGCTTGTTAAAGCTCACTGATTAGGATTGAGACTTACAAGAAAAATCTAAATTGCTTAAATATAAAAGTAACAAGGTAATTGGGATTTATGAATGGTTGAGGCTACTAAGAAGAGTGCGTTTAGCACTTTTGAATTGAAATTCAGATTATGTTCTTCTTGTATGGATGATATCTATTAGAGTTTCTGGGATATTTGTGAAACACAACCTCACCTTCCACAACTAGGTACCCAGTGCATTCTCAAGCAAGATAATTTGTATTACAACAACGTCTAGAAAGAACATCTAACAAACCTTGTTGTTTTTTGGATTGATAAGTGATCTTGAAATCAAATCATGACAAGGACATGCTTCAATAGACTTGGCAATAATTCAAAATATGTATTGATATAAAATATTTAAGCTTCTTATGGTCGATATAAACAATGACTACATTAAAAGTGCCTTTTAGATAATGGTATTATTCTTCAAAAAAATCCACAATTACAAGAAGTTCTTCGTCATAAATCTCATAGTTGATTTTTGCTATTGAAAAATTTCTTGGATGAAAAGCTACTAAGTGAAATTTATTATGTGTTTCCATTTGTGATAATATGGAAAAAACAACAAAGTTTGATGCATCTATTTTTTTAAAAAATGGCTTAAAAAAGTTCATACAATACAAAATTGGTGCTAAAATAAAAGTTATCTTTAAAGCTTCAACTGATGCTTCTACTTCTTGATTCCATTGAAGTTTGTCTTTACAAGTCTAATTTGTAATTAGAACTACAACTTGAGAGAAGTATTTGATGAAGATCCGACAATAGTTGGTAAGTTTCAAAAAACATTAGACATTTCTTATTGTTTTTGAAATCTTTCAATCTATTATAGTTTGAAATTTTTTAGGATTCATCATAATTTCATTATTTGAAATAATATATCCTAGAAAGTCAACATGAGTAGTGTGGAATATATACTTTTTTATTTTAGCATAGAATCCTGCATTTCATAGTTTTGAAATACCTAACAAACATAAAGTTCATATTTTTTTGTGTTCTTAGACTAGATTAAGATGTAATCTAGGTAATAAATAACAAGTCATCTAAAAACTTTAAAAAAATATCATTCATTAGATATTGAAAAGTTATAGATGCATTTGTAAGTCCAAAAATCATGATATTCTATTCAAAATATCTATATCTTATTCAAAATGTAGTCTTCCATTCATCTCTTTCTTTAATGTGTAATAGATTGTATGCTCCTTGTAGATCTATTTTTGTATAGATCTTAATTTGATTCAATTGATTAAAAACTTTAGATATCTGAAGTAGTGGATATCTAATCTTAATAGTAATTTTATTGAGTCCTTGATAATTGATACACATCCACAATGATATATCTTTTTTCTTCACAAATAAAATTAGAGCTTCTACTAGAAATTTGGAATGGCATATGAAGTTCTTCACTAGATTTTCTTCAATATACTCCTTGAGTTTATCCAACTCATTTTGTGATAAATTATAAATTGGTCCAAATAGTAATTGAACTCGTTTTTGAAGGTGAATTGAGCAGTCATAAGGATGATGTTTTGATAGAGTATCTATATTTTTTTTCTCAAATACATCTTAAAAATCTTGATATTAGCTTGGATTATCACTTGAAGTCTTTCCACCATTAAAAAAAAGTGCTGCATAAATGACATAAGATAATCTTTCTTTTGTAGCATGCAAGAAAGTTCTTGCATCTACAAATACAAGTTTAATTATACTAGACTTATGATATTTTATTTGATCAAATATATTCTTAGTTATACTTTCAAAAAAAATAAGACTACAAGAAATCTAATCTATTTTTGGATTATATTTTTTTAACTATAATAAATCTAAAATGATTAAATTAGAGGGAGATCTAATGATATTAAATATTACAAAGCTACTATGACCATTAGTTGTTACTTCTATAAGAAAGATTTCATGAGTAATATTTATTAAAGATAATAAACAATCATCTATGACTTATATATGAACAAGTTTAGTTTTCTTTACTAAAAGTATGTTATGTCTTTTAGTAAATTCTTCATCTAAAAAACATATTGAGGCTCTTGAATCTTATAAGATAGAGATTTTGTAATATTTTGGTTCTAAAATAATATTTATTGTAAAATAAAGAGAGGGTTCTGAAGAAAGAATACGACCTTCACTAAGTGTTGTATAAGATTCCAGCCGCATAGTCTTTATTATAGTTGAACAAATTCATTTTCCAACATACTCTCTTCTTTGAAGGCCATACTTCTCATTTTGTAGTTGTATTGCTTCTTTGAACAATGTTGAACAGTGTGCTTAGATTCTCCATAATACAAGTACAATCCTTCTTGACGATGACAAGTCTTTTCTTACTTAGTAAGAGATTTAAAATGTATTGCATTAATTTAGATATCCTCTACTTCAAAATATGTATTAAGAAGACGTTGGCATTGTCATTGAATTATAACAACATTAAGGTGCATTTATGTGACTCTCAGATTAAAATTAAAAAAGTCAATTATCACACCTTATAACAAAGTCAATTACTTGACTTAATGTTTAAAGATTACATAAATTGAGCATCAATTTTTTTACCCCATATTATATTCCATAGAAAAATTGGTTAATAAGTACAATACTATCTCACTTGATATCAATTGCAAGTTGTCAAAACTATGAAGCATATATCGTTATCAATCAATTTTATTTTCGTAAAATAAAAATTTAATTGATTGTAATAAAAATTACATTATATTTTCTATACATGGATCAAAACGCCATCAAAAAAGCTTCCAAATTATCCAATATTAGATCTTATCATTCAAAAAAAAATAAAAACCATGATAATGCTAAATTTAAAAGGAATATATAAATGAATATAACTTACAATCTTAAAGTTGGTTAGCTTTAGAATTAAAGTTCAATCATAAGTTGTACTTAATTGATAAATCCTCAAAACTTTGATCTTATGCCATCAAACTTCTCAAGCAATGCAACCCTTGGTTCTCTAAGACTAGAAGAATGTTCTATCATAGGAAAATCGATATGATTTGATGACTTTGCATGATACATATCTTAACTTATAAGGTAAGTTTTCTGTATGGGTGCCATATAATTAACTTATTTTGTAAGCTATCAATACATGTGGTACTTAGTTAGTTTGTTGATCGAATTTCTAACCTACCAATCAAGTATAAATACATGTAAAGTCAAAACAGTATCTAGGAAGCTTCTAGAAAGCTACTTTAGAAAGTATTATGAAATTAATCTATTTTTACTTACTTCTATCCATTCATATTACTTGGGTAATAATTACAATAGATATATATCCATGACACTACATACTTTTAGCTGATATTACACCTCTAATATGCTTATGCATGCTTTTATATAAGTTTTTATATTTATTGGAAATAATTGAAGTCTAATAATCCTTACTACACTACCATAATTCTAGTATTTTTTTAGGATGGATTTCATATTGGTTTAATTGATATTTTAAAATTATTTATAAGTATTTAATCAGATTTAAGTTTGGAGATTGAGCCAGCTACTTTAAAAGAGTAAATTCTTGTAAATTTAGTCAATAATACATATCTTTAGATGTATGCTTAGAGTTATTATCATATTAAAAATTCAAACTTGTAGGATTTAAATTGTATGCATGCACTATATGAATCAATTCTTATTCTAAAATCTCTTTATACATAATTTGATCCATTCTTCTTTCAATCCTATATATCATACTAAGGCTATTTGGAATCATACAATTCCACATCATTACTCTTTTATCTTCAAACTTAATTATTTGTTGTATTGTTTTAACACTTGTACTTTGTTTGTCATAAAATCAATACCAACTATAATTATAGAAGTAAAAGTAGTTGATTTTTGTTTTATTGGAGAATATTACACAATCTTCATTATCACCAATTCAATGATAATGATATTTAGAAAATTCTAATCTTGCATTAAGTTGACAAAGTATGAGCTTTCATTTCTTTTGCTGCATTTTGCATTTCAAACTTGCTTCACGTAACACTCTCTTCATAGTACTATTACTTATACTAATATAAAACTCTTCTCTCAAGTAATTTCCAACTTTATGTGAAATTTCCTTGCCACTTCTAATGATTTTTTTTCACACAAGTCCTTCAATCAACTATATTATACATCCTTGGTCTACCACCAAAACTATGATTTACATCACTTAAATTAATCAAATGTTACTTACAAAATTGTGCAATCCAACTTTAAAATACCTATAAATCTCTAGCAATATTACTAGTACTCTCACCTCTCCTCAACTTCTACAAAGCTGCCACTTCTACTAACTTCTTATCAATAATACATATATATCTTAATGAAATGATTTTGCTCAATTTACATAGGTGATGTGCATTGATGATGGCCACAATTATATATATGAAGACCAAGAATAAACCTATACTCTCAATCACACTTAAAAAACCAATTGTCCATGTTAGATTTGTAGCTTAGATTCTATCATGTCATTGTAATCCAAGTGTGAGCATAACTAAGTTTTAGAAATAATACATTTTGGTCCACATTTTTTTCAATCTATCTTACATTGTTGGACTTGTAATTTGGTAGCCACATCAATTATTTAATATAGAACTTGAATTACCAATTGATTTAGTGATTATTGCAATAAATTACAAAGTATGAATGGCTAATGGTAGAGTTACTGATTTCATACTCAGTTTTGGCAATTACTAAATAGTATGTCAAATTAGAGGCAACTACATAAAAGGACAAGGATGTTACAAAAGCTGGCTTAAGCAAACATTAGTTGAAGTAAAATTCAGATTCTTACACGTTTTTGTTTGTGTGGCAAATGAATACTTAAAAGACAATCAACCAAGCCAAATACTTTACTTACAAACTATGAAATACAAAAATAAAACAAACCACTCAGGGGGTTTAAAAACATCCGTCTGAATTAAGAGGCGTATTGCACATACATTCAGAGCTAAATTGCCGTACACCCTGCAAATAGATTCTATCACTTTGCGAGTCCCCCTTTCTATTGAACCCTCTGCTGTGTGGCACCTTTCCCAGCAATTATTCACAACCGTTATTCAAAATACACAATCTTTGATCCTCATCCCATATCGCCTTTTCCGCCAAAACCACTCTCTTGACAGACAAAGCTGTAAAATATACAGTATTTATATCAATATGACAAAATTAAATCCAACTTACAGACTAGTTTGCAGGTTGTATTCTAGATGTAATGTTGATATGTAATACTTAGAGTCTCATACAATGAATGTTCTTTGTTTTGAAGGTCTAATCTTAACATCAAAGAAACTGCATTTCAGACACGAAAGTTCATATGGCTTAAAAATAAACTTAAAAGGTCTAACAGTGTGCACCTGTATCCACTTCAGATTGAGAACTTCTCACAGAAGTTTCCTCGTTTTGGACTCCCTACAAAAGCCAGATTATTTATTAACATCCAGCGTAGCACTAAAATATTAAGCAAGAACCTGTTCCTCCATTGCATGCTAATCCTCTAATAACCTTGCAGGAGCGCAACATTGACGAAGAAACTCTAAAACGGGAATGCAACGGCCGTCAATAGAGACTGACGCTATCTCTAGTTGCACGAAAGTGACTGTTAGCAACGAGCTGTAACCATCAAACCCTTGAGCATAGAGTAGGTACTTAAGCCTATGTTTTCTGCAAGTATTTCAAGGTGCTTCAATGAGCTGACAAAAAGCGGACTAATCCAATCTCCAACAATTCATGAAGTGCAATTCTTTGAAAAAGCATCCTCAACAAGATATAATTTCATTCTTTGAAAATTCCACTATATTATGACTATCCTATGAAAAATACAAAAGGAATAAGACAATTGAGTATCCATAACCGCTTAGTTTTTCAGGTAAAAATAAACCATATTTTCCCGTATCCTGGATATATAATGGGCCGACTGAAGGAAGCGCAGGACGCCCTTGTCATCTGCATGAGACATGTGTAAGCTCATATCAAACAAAAGCCCCTGAGAGAATCGCAAAATCTGATAATGTCCTACACGTAATATACCCTGTTCTTATGCCACCAACCAGCCTGGTAGAATCTCAAGTACTGGACTCACTTTGTACTTATATACCTTCCTTTCTTTTTTCCTTTTTATTGAACTTTTTACTGTCCTTTGGTTTTCCGTATCTTTCCTTCTTGAAAAAATGAAAAGAAAGAAAAAACTTCCAACAGCACATAAATTGAATTTAAAAAGGAATCTCTGCTCGATTTGCCATGAACATTTCTGTAAGATCTAAAGTTTCTACATCTTTGACTTACTTTAAGATAGCTAACATCCCGAAGAGTGGATACCTTGTCACGGTTGCGTTGGCAGCTTCGATGGCCATTCGATTTGAACGTGGTGTTATACCCTGTGCAACCACTGCGTACCTGTAAGTACACATACCCAACTTGGTTTCTTAAAGATGAATCTGATGACCATATGCGTAGCACACCGCTAAGAAGAATATCCAAAAATGTCCACAAGTAGAAATAGGTACGAGCTTCATGCCAAACAAGTTGCAAGTGAAGTTTATTCAGTCGTTTGGTACCTCAGCAAGAAACAAGTGGAGGGCAGTAATAGTCAGAAACAACATGAGAGTTGGCCGCAACATTCGTAAACTCCCTAAACCCGCAGCTCGCAGGGCTGCATTTAACCACAAGCTCAAGAAACGTTATGTGCCCGTTCATAAAGTTGAAGACGGAACATCCATGATCAGACCACTGGCAAATGACAAACTTCATTACAGCGATGCCATAGGAAGCGCCAAAGCAACGTATGACTGTACAACATGAGTATGTTTCAACTAAATCTGGCTGGTCAATTGAGAAAAGTATTGATCATGCAAATGATTGAGGTAGCACTTTCGTCATCTTACATCCTCATCAGCACGGTTCGGCTCCGAACATAGAACATGGAGAACTATACAGCGTTGTGTCGATAACACTTAGTGCGTCATAGAAACATGTTTGATTTGTGACAGAAACTACGACGTTATTGCATAACAATGCAGATCGCTCTTCCAGACAACAGTCCAAATTATAGAGTACCACATTCACGGAAATAAATAAACGCGATTAAGCTTACCGGGAGGCGAAAGAAGAAAATTTGCGTACAAAGAAGACTGCTGCGAAATGAAAAACTTGTTTTTTCAATTAATGCCATTACTTCCGGCCCTAGTCCTGTAAGAATTGAGAACCAATCACGCATCACATTCACCACATTCGAATTCTCTCAAAACTTTCAAGCAAGAACATACAACACTGTTTTAGAGGCAGGACAATAACAGCTCGCTACGGTCCAAACCCACATATTTGAGGCCCTAAGATTAACCAAACTAACAGTCGTATAAAATCTACATCGACTAAATTTTGCAACAGCAGTAATTCCACCCGTTCTATTTAGTTGAAAAGATCAGCAATTGATGAATGAAAGAAGATTACTAGAGGATGAAGCGTAGTCTCCGACCAATCGAAACTCCCAGTAAAGTGAACGCCTCAGTGCTCAAAATAAGAGGAAGAAGCTCCCTTATCAAATAGAAATCCAATAACATCACAGAGCTTCTGATGCTTTCTCCTACAAACCCTGTCTTCTGCTGCCTTGCAGCGAATCTGCTGCGCCATCTGCCTTTGATCACGCAGGGCGAAAAATTCTCTCTCTTCCAAATTTCATGAGAAATACAGCAGGATTTCGAACCTCGCCTCCACCACAACGATGCGTCCAAAATCGGGCGACTGGCAAAACGACCAAATCCATAGCAATCCAAAAAAAAAAAAAAAAAAAAAAAAAAAAAAAATCCGAAATCCTCCGCACACGTGAAACCAGAAAAACTCCCGGTGCACCAGCAGTGAAAGGACTTTTGACCAACGTTGTCTCTCGCAGGATTAAAGCTATGCACCGCATGCGAATAATCACTAGCTCGACGTCCAAAATCCGCCCATCCAAAATTCACATTACGGCTCTGTGGAGTAAGAATGCACGATGCACTGAACGCAAGGGGGGAAATTCAATGACGCAGGCTTCGCCATCTGACCCCGGGACCGCAGTCACAGTAGCAATACTGGTAACAAACGAGTAATCCATGAGCATCGTCCATCGCATCAATAACTGCAGCAATTGCTCCAGCGAAAAATCGCAGCAGCGGCCAAACACGCTGCGATATGGCGGAATTTTGCGGCAACAAAACATACAAAAGGCATCGTTCGGCGCCACTAGAAAGGCCCCGAAGGCAATTTCAAGGTGTTTCAAAATTGGAGGCCCTCCACGTCGTTAAAGATAAAGTAGATTTCAAAAGTAAAAGTATCAGATATGTATTGGTTTTTATCTAAGTCTGGTTTTGCTATACAAGTTTGAGTTTGAACCAGTTCCACCTACCAACCATATGTGTAACTAGTTGAATCCATGCAGTTGTCACTAAAACAATTATGATTGAGTCAAAAGCCAATGTGATATTCTTTTGTGAGGTAGAAGTGAATCACATGTGTTGTTAAGGCCTTATAAATCTATAAATCTGGTTCTATTAAGACCTTGTGAATTGCTGCATAACTCAACTTATGCTTCATTTTAGATGAAAACAATGAGATCAAATTTGTCTCTCTTAATATGTTCTACATAAGAGATAATATGTGGTCAATTTAATTTGTGTTCATAATAGTTGAAGAATCAAGTTATTACTTCTACAGCTATGGCAAATATACACTACAAAGCTAACATTATTTTGCAAATCAAAGGATTGAATAACAAAATTTATATTTTCATGTACAAAATCTAGATTCAATTTACTGAGGAAGATGCTCCAAGTAAACACTTATTTAGTTGTAGTATGAGAAGAAAAAAATCATGTTAATTAGCCTAATTGTATTCTTGAAAGAAAATTAAGACAAAAAATAAAATGGTGATGTCTTTAAAATAAATGTTTTTAATTGATAAAGATAAATTATTATATTCTTTTTATGTTTTTTGATAACCTATCGTGATATGCAAAAAATTAAATATAAAGAAGTCTAATAGCTAAAAAAAACAAAGGATTTTTTTGGTGAATGTCTATATTTAGAAAAATTACCATATATATCAAGGTTCATGAAAATTTAAAATGTATAATATTTTGTGAAACAATTTAGTTGCCTTTGTTAGTGCCAATGCTCTTATAATTAAAGATAAAATTTTATTTTTTGACATTTTATTACTATTTATTATTTCTAATTATTGAAATTATTACATTATTTTAAATAAAGATATTTAAAAAAAAGATTGAATAACTTTTCTAAGATTAAGTAAAAATAATAATAATAATAATAATAATAATAGTAAATCTCTTATATTAAATATCTTTGAAACATTGTCTATTCCAATCAATACTATTATAGTGAATCAAGTCTTATAAATAAACATTAACAAATATTATTGACACAATTGTAAATAATTCAATCAAAATTTGGATATAATTCACATTCTTTGAAAATAATTTAAAATAATTAATTTTATATCTCTAGTTATATTTTTTTCTATCAAAAATTTAAATGATTTAAATTACTTAAATATTAAAAATATATATATATATAGCCTTCATTTAACTCTAAACTATCATATATCAAAAAAATATAAAGATGAAATATCAATCTTATCTTCTTTTTAAAATTCAAATAACAGATTGAAAAAAAATATTAACTTTTTTATACCATTTTTATTCTAAATAGTAGATCAAATTTCTCTTTATTTAGATTGGAAAGATAAAACAATCCAAAAAAAAAAAAAAAAAAAAAAAAAATCACATTTAAGATAGTGGTTTTATCTTCTTGTAAGTTTTTTTTTCACAATATTTTCTTTTTTTGTTTATGCTACTAGCACTATTCAAATTGCAATATTAGAACTAGAAAGATTTTGTAGCTACTTGTATTTATTTCTTAAATTTAGATATTTATATAATAAAATTATACAAGATAATAACAGATATTTTTATTTATAAGTCGAAAATCAATATAAGCAAGAACATGAGTTTTCCTATTGAAGAAGTCAATGTTAAATCAACCAATTTAAAAAATATTTTCGTATGATTAATTTGTTTATTCAGTAACAAAAATATAGGGAAATGATAAAGCAACCCAAATTTTTACTAAAAGGATCCACTCCATCTTAAGCATCATTGCACCTTTGGAACCTTTATCCCTATTCCTGGTCATTTTCTATTTCCAACCATTGCTAGAAATGGGCGTGGAGGATTGAAAACATTTAAAATAGGAGCAGTGATTGGAAACAAGGGAATAGGAGAATGAGGCCTGTGGGTCAATTTAGTAAAAATTTGGATTGCTTTATTATTTCCTAATATATATATATATATATATATATTTATTTATATACTAGTTTTTTATAATCAAAGATAATATGTTTAAGCATTGAAAGTCAATATATGTATTCTTTTAAGCTATAGAATAACTAGATTTACTTTAAAAAATTAATCTAATAATAAATTGAGATAAAATATGTTTATATACACATACACACACACACACATATATATATATATATATATATATATATAATATAATACATTTGTGTTTCATAAATAATTTAAAAATATACTATATAAATAAATAATAATAAAGATTTTAGAATTTAAAATTTAAAAATATTATTAAATAAGAATTTAATTGAAAATATTAACTTTTAAATTCAATCAATAGATTAAATTTATTAATTCACTTTCTTTGTAGAAAATTTTAAATTCTAAAATAAATTCATCAATATATTATGCAATAAATCTTATTAAATATTAGAAAATAACCTTAATGTATTTTTTCAAATTATCTGTATTAATATGTATGTAACATTATATATATATATATATATATATATATATATTATTTATTATATCCTTACTATAGATTAAAATTTTATATTAGAAAATTTTAGTACTTATAATAAAACTGACAAGCATATAATAGTTGTTAGTATTGAAACTCTATAATATAAGAATAGGCAAATATCTTCAAAATTGATATTATTTTATTTGGCTTTGATGTCTTAGAAATTGAGATCTTGCATCAAATATTTTAAATTAAGAGCACTTACAAAGTCACCAATGTACTTATGTAAAATGATTACAATCTTTTTTCTAATACAATTATATTTTTGGATTTTTAAAATTTATAAATATCATATTTATAATGACATAATTATGATATTTAATTTAAAGATTTACAAAAAAAAATACTACAAAATTATATACATATGTATGTTTTTAAATTATTCAAAATTAAATATTTTTAAAGATGTAGATTATTTCAATAAGCTAAAGATTTGTAATTTGTTTTCTACATCGTATCAAATCAAATGTTAAAATTTTAGTTATAATTATTAGAATAATATCAAATTTTTTTGTAGATCTTTTTCATCTTAATAAAAAAACATATTATTAGTTATAAAGACACTTAAAACCACTTATTATTAATTATAACACCAATGCTATAATTTTATTTTTTAAATGATATTCATACAAACAAAAATAAAGGCACTACATTGAAACTATGCTTCTATAGAAGCCTTTTGATATTGACAATGATTTTAAGAATTTTATGTTGTAAATGTCGTTGTGAATTTTTTATTATGTATTTAAAAGAATAAAACTCTTTATTCTAATTTGTAAAAAAATTTAGAATTATTTGTACTACTTTCTATTTTGTTAACATCTTTCTTTTCAATGGCAAAGTAACAAGCTTTAATTTTGATATGTATACATATTTTTAGTATTTTTTAAAGATTTTAAAATTGTATATGATTTTTTAATATATTTACTATATTCAAAAAAATAAATTTTAGAAATAATCTACAAGTTAAAAAATTATTTATTAAGATGAATAATTTTAGCATATAATTTTAATTATCTTCATGTCTCATAATTATATAGCATTACATTCACTGACTTAAAATAATTAATACGAGTATTATTAATTAACTAATTGAACATGTGTCGTTTTCACAAAAACCTTGATTCCAAAGAAGTATTTTTTTTAAACATATTTGTAAGCCAAAAAATATTTTTCAAAAGTTTTTCAAAAAAACAAAGAAATGAAACACACTATGGAACTTTCAACTACAAAAGAGGCTAGTCTATGGTAGAATCTAGTTGCTTCATTGAAAAAGTACTTGCACTAACTTCTTATTCTTTCAAATATTTACTACTTAACAAATTTTTTTTTTTTTTGGAACATTTGCAGTAGAAAGAACAATCTCTTTGAACTTTCTTACATGGACTCAAAATTCTTCTATGCCACATTATTGACTCTAATCTTGGCAAATTTTTGAAAATGATATTTTCATTAGCTTTGTAAATGTTTATGGTCAATAATCTTATGACTCAATCAAATAGGCCTTTGCTACCTCATAGCTCTATAAGTTTTAACTCTTGCTTGTAAATTACAAGTAATAGATAATTTTTAATTTTTAACAATATCTAATATAATTCTATGATATATCATTGAAAATTGAGAATCAAAAATTTGTTTAGACCTATAATATAAATAAAAAATAATAAAAAAAAAACAATCTATTCTTACATATCCTTACAAATCCAAATTCAACTTCATGCAATACTTTGCAATACAATGGTTTATGCTTCTTTGGATTTGTGTCAAAGATATGAATTACAAATAAATAAAACCTCAATACAATCTTATTTTACTTTAAAAAAATAGATATTTATTCAAAATTTATATAATATAAAATAAGAATGGCTATTGCCAAAGACAAGAAGACTAGAAAGTCGTAAAGAAAGACTAAAGATCAAAAAGGTATTGATAAGAATAAAAAAGACTTTACTTTTGTCTCTATATATATATCATGGACTTACATATTTATTCTAATAATTATTTAGGTAATATGAATAGATAGAAGTAGATAAAAATAGATTAATTTCATAATATCTTTTAGAAAAGCTTTCTAAAAGCTTTGTAGATCTAATTTCACCTTTATACATGTCTATAGGTGATTGATAGGTTAGAAACTTGGCCAATAAGTTAATCATGTATTGCACATATTAATAGCTTGTATTATAAGTTAATAATATGGCATACATATAGGAAATTTGATTTGCAAGTTAAGACATGTGTCTCACAAATTAGACATGTGTTGAAGGTCCTATAAAATGTTGCCACATAGCTCTTATATAGATAGTATGTATAGAAAAAAAAGTAAAGCCTTTTTTATTCTTAACAACTCTTTTCTTATTTTCAAACTAATTTCAAGGATTTTTAGTTTTTTTTATC